ACCTTCAAATCGAATAAGGTCCATTTCTTAGAGGAGAGAGAAAACATGAGTTTGTGAGGCACTGTTTAATTCCTCCTGATTCAGCCATGGTTTGGATGACTTCCCTATTTTAACATTTCACTTTGAAGTTGCTGGCACCTGCTCCCATCTTCCTGTGAGGACAGATAGCTCTAGCCTGCACCATGCCCAGAGAGCTGTGTAGCCCACATACTGCACCCACCACACCTCCCCTGCAGCCAAACTCTCAGCCCGGTGAAGGTCACCGAGGAGCAGTGAAGAAAGGTTTGTACGTGGATTCAGAACTTCCTTTTTTTAGCCTCAGATCACATTTTCCAAAAGAGGTGAAGACCTAATCCATATCACTCTCTTTGCTCTGTGTAAAAACTGTCCAAATTACATGTGATGGTGGAAGAGTTAAAAGTTAACCCTGCAGGGGCCGGCCGAGTGGTGCATTGGTTAAGAGTTGGCTTGGGACGCCAGCTCTGAGCAGCAGGACCCAGGTTCAGATCCCACATGAGGGCCAGTGACACTGTGTCTTCTACAGCTAAGATGGTGAACAACAGCCTGACCTGGAGCTGGGCTGCCGTGAGTCGCCGGTGACGGCATAGGCTGCAGTAGAACTGCAGTGGGTTGCCATAAGCTACTGTGAGTGGCTGGCAGCTGGCATGAGCTGCCAAGAACTGCCGTGAATGGCCGTCCAGTGGCCGACGACTGATCTGCCTCAGCCGGGAAGAGTGCAATTATAATACCAACATGGGCCAGTGAAGCGACGTCCTCCACAGCTAGACTGAAGAACAAAAGGGCAGCAACTTGCTGTTCCCCTTCCCTGATTCCCAAACAAAATCTTAAAAAAAAAAAGTTAACCCTGCATATTTCTCATTCTTTCATCAACAGACACCTTTCCAGGTACTCTCTTGTTGAGATGCTCTAAAATATAGGTGTGATGAGGTATTCCCCCCAAATTCCAAAACCTGAACTAAAGTTATCCTCTGAGAGTTCAATGAGTGAAATCCATACTGATTGTATTTGTCACCTGAGGAAATAATGCAAGAGATAATCAGTAAATAAAAACTAGAGTCCTATATGGGGTGACCGGTTAGCTCAGTAGGTTAGAGTGTAGTGCTGATAACACCAAGTTTTCCGGTTTGATCCCCAGATGGGCCACTGTGAGCTGCGTCCTCCTTAAAAGAGTCAACTATGTCATTGTAGCATGAAAGCAATGTGTAACAAATGACCGTGGTGGTTCCCTAATAACATTAAAAAAAATAAAAAAACTAGAGTCTTATAAACCTCTGTTTGTTGACAAGGTGACATGGGTCTCATCCCAGAGACCTAAACCAGAATCCAGTGTTAAATAAAAAAGCAGCAATACCTTGTTTGTTTCGCAGAAGGGTCTGATCAGCACAAACAAAGAAAAGGGAGTCCAAAGAAGGATTGTCTCCACTATGATCCCTAGGACAGAAGAGCTGGGTCAGGCAGAGTCCTGGCCCCAGATATAAGTGGGGAGCATGAGTGGATTGTCAGACCTGGGCAGCCTCTGCCATCTCCCAACTGGCTTTTGGGTTTCACCAGAGAGGGGGGTCCCAAGACTCATCTAATCACTGGAAAGGAGTACACACACACACACACACACACACATTATCAGCTTGCTGGGCTACACATTGGTCTTTAGTGAGTTTGTTCGGTGTGACTCAGGACTTACATGGGATGGTCTGCTATAACACATTTTCTAGAAACAGCCCTTCTCCAACCAAGCCCACAGCTGCAGTGGGAGATGACACGTTTATATGATGTGATCAACCCTTGGCCATGGTTCAATGAACAAGAGTTAGACACCTGACCCAAACGGAGTGAATGGGCACCTTTCTTCAGGAATTCGGACATGAGTCTGACAGAAGGGACGCTATGTCTCTTCAGGAGGCTGGGCTATAGCTTGTACACATTGTGACTGGGACCAGGATGTAGAGACAGCTGATCTGCAGGGAGAGGAAGCTGCTGGCTCCGAGGGCCAGGTAGAGTTGAGAGAAGGGGCCCCAGATCCAGGTGGACATGGGAGAAGAAAGGCACTTCAGAGCCCTGGGTCCCAGCTTTGCCTCGGAGCTCCAGTGCATCCTACCCTTGGAGGCAAGATCTTCCCCTTACATTCCCTTTCTTTGGATTTGAACAGCCGGAGTAGGTTTCTATCACATGTACCCAGCAGAGACTGGTCTAAGTATCGCGAGGGAGGGAAATGCCCAAGGGGCCCATGCCCACCCCCCTTCCCAGCCTGGGAAGCCCTGACCTGGGACAGCCCATCTGCCCTGTTCAGAAGGACTGCCCCAGGGTAAAGCCAGGGACCATAGATGCTACCTGGACATGCATCCCAGTGTGGGGGCTTGACCTGACCCATAGGATAAGGACAAAATGATGTGAGGGTCAGAGGACAGAGGAACATCTGCTGGGCCTCAAATTGTTGAGGTTCTCAGGGTTCATCATCTCTCTTTCCCAGCTTCACTCAGTGAGGACAGGGCAGAAGGTAGAGAGGAGAGGAGAAATTCAGGAAGGTCAGTTGTGCACACATCTGGGTTCCCAGCCGGGACGCTGGGCAAAGCAGCGCAGGGCTGTGCGCAAGGAAGGGAAGGGGAGAAGTCAGGTGGGGGGCGGGAGGCAGGGGGGGCGGGGAACGAGGTGAGACTTCAAGCTACCGGAGCTGCATGTGGGAACATGCCAACCCAGCAAATGAGAAAACACCGCAGGCCAGCATCTGGGAAACCCGGCATTATTACCGGGGCCCTGGCTTCCAGGTCCTCCTGAAGTGAACTAAAGGACAAAGCTAGCACATGGAAGCCAGTCAAATTTTACCACGTTACCATGACAACAGGAGTGAGCAGAGAGAAATGCTCCCAAATTAACACTAGTTATTTAAGGAAACTTTAAGGTTTTCTTTGATTTCGGTAAATAGGAAGATGAATGCGCCCAGATGTTTAACTGCGTCAGTACGTCGTCTGGGGGAATACCTGAGTGGCTCACAACGGCATGGGGGGCCGCCCATTGAGTCCTTCAACAGATTCGGCTTAAGATGTTTTTGCGTACGTTTTTTAACATGTGCATCTGCTCTCTGAGATGTTAGTGAAGATGTGGGAAAGGGGCTGCCAGGCCGTACCCCAAGTGGTAGCCTTTTTGTGTTTGGCAACCTTCTGTTTGGCTGATGTTTTACGTACATTAAGTTTTGAAGGGATGAAAGTAAACACTCTCACTCCATTGAAGGGGGAACCAAGTGGACAGGGCCTGTTAATCAGCTTCCACGGCTAAGGTTTCAGAAAACTCTTTCTGACTAGGGTTCACATATAAAAAATGATCCTTCCTTCCAGAAACTCTGGCATTTTCTAGGGGAATTTTCGAGATCATTAATATGAAAGAGGATAACCTACTTCTTTTGCTAATTGCCACCCAGCCCAAGTGCCACTGCTGGGGCTGATGTCACACACTTACCCTCCCCACCAGCCCGTACCTGGGGCCCACCATTCTCACCACCCAGCCAAGTGATGCCCGCTGGGCATGCCTACGACCCATGAGCCCCCAGCGGCTGTCCTAGACCTTCAGGATGACAGCCTGGGCTGAGGAACTAAGCCAAACAGAGTGAGGCTGATTTCTCACAGCCAAACTTAACACGTGCAGGCAATGAAGAAGCATGGAGAAACTGTGTGTGTGTGTGTGTGTGTGTGTGTAATTGTGATGATTACTTTTTAAAAAATTTTTTATTGATATCAATCTTTTTCCAGGACTCATCAGTTCCAAGTCAAGTAGTTGTTCCAATCTAGTTGTGGAGGGCGCAGCTCAGTGATCCATGCAGGGATCGAACTGGCAACCTTGGTGTTATGAGCACTGCACTCTAACCAACTGAGCTAACCGGCTGTCCCTGTGATGATTAATTTTATGTGTCAACTTGACTGGGCTCAGGGATGCCCAGACAGCTAGGTGCCTCTGGAAGAGATTAGCATTTGGGTCAGTAGACTGAGAGATCTGCCCTCACCAATGTGGGCAGCATCATTCAATCCAATCCACAGCCTGAGGACAGGAAGGCAGAGGAAGGGTGAACGCCCTCTCTCCTGCCCTTGGCCATCAGAGTTCCTGGGTCTCAGACTCCGACTGAATTACACCCTTGGCCCTCATGTGTCTCCAGCTTGCAGATGGCAGATCATGGGGCTTCTCAGCCTCCACAATGGCATGAGCCAATCCCTTTAATAAATCCTATATATATGTGTATCTGTATATATCCTATTCATTCTGTTTCTCTGGAGAACCCTAATCCATTAAAAAAAAATCTTACTCCTGGAATCTGCACCTCAACTGTACGTGCTAGCCTTCAAAGGCAGCAGAGCCTGGTCATGGCTGGTGGGACACCCTCCGCCCTCAGGCCATCCCCCAGGGCCTTCTCCTCAGGGGAGGACAGCAGGCCAAGCTCTCTGGCATATGGGGAGATGGGGTGGGGTCTCATGATTGGTTCTGCCTCTCACTGGCCTGGTCTCCCCAATAACCACTTTCTCTGTTTTGTCTTGTTCCCTCAGCAGTGTAAGGACCCATTCTGCCTTGCTGGTAGACTTGATGCTACCACGTTCTAGTCTCCATGACAAGGAGCATCTTTAGATAGCAAGTGGTGCTCCCTCTGCCCGGTGGGATCCCAGCTGGGATAGTCCTGGGCTTCCCTGACACTCCCTTGCACCTGGGCAGGCGAAAAGAGGTGGTCTCTTTTTGTAGAATGAAGGGACTCAGACAAGGGACAAGCTGAGTGGGGGCATCTGGGGCAGAGCACTAATGGCAGAGGGAAGCGAGAGTAAGTAGGGACCTTGTAGGGGTGCAGCAGCTCCCTTGGGGGCCCAACTTATCCAGGCAAGTCCCCTCCCACCAGGGGAGCAGCATCTCCTTGCCTTGGGGTAGGCTCCACCTGCCTGAGGATGAGGCTTTAAGCATTAACTAGGAAGCGTTTTCTAAATTCTTCACAGACAAAAAAAAGCTCTAAATGACCAGATCACCAGTGATTCTTTTTGTCTTCCTCTTCCTTATGAAAATTTTTGTGAAATCCAAAGAATAAATATTTTTAAAGTAAAAAGATGACTTTTTAAGAAAACGCATTTTCTGGCAAAGCTGTAGGACCTGTTTATGCAAATAGGTGGTACCTACAAGGAGGGGTGGAACCAGGAGGGGTGGAGCCGTGTGCCCAGCCAAGGGGTGGACCTACAGTTTTGAGGGCTTTGAACCTTGAAGCACCCACTGGACGCAGGCAGGAGAAAGGCGGCCATTTCAGGCTGGGGCTGGACTGGGCAAGCAAGCGGGACAGCCCATGACCCTGGGTTGGGGGCAGGGGTACATCCCAGCAGCTTGGCTGCATTTCCACTTGCATGAGCTTGGAATACCAACCTCCCCCTGGCACACATCTGTGTGGTGTGGGCAGGTCAGCATGCTGGCCTCACTACCTGGTCACTCCTGCTCATGCACGGGAAATGGGGCCCTGGGGAGGGAATGTAGACACAGCACAGCTCCCAGAAAAGGGGTCAGTCTCTGCTTCAGGTGCACTGCTGGGGTGGTCGGTTCGGAGCTCTCAGCTGGTTGAGAGGCAGGTCCCAGGAATCTAAGAGCAGGCTGCAGACCAGCGACCCCTTCAGAACGCCTCCTTTGCCTAAGTCACCCAGCTCCTGTCAGAAATGCCAGCAGACGCCAAGGTCAGAGAGGACTGGAGGGGCACCAGGGCCCACCTCCTGCACAGCCTAGGGGGTTGTATCTGCCCCCTGGGCAGCACCCACCAGTGACTGGGCGAGGGTAACAGGCAGCCAAGCCTTGTACATCCCCTGCGGTTGGACACCTACAGCCCCCATCTGCCTTCTCCCAGAGCTCCCCAAAATAAGTGCTCCTCACCCCAGTGATTGGTTTACCAGCCCAAGGCTCACCCCCTGGCCTGCTTGGTCACCCATAGGCACTGAGAACGTGTGTGTTAGCAACCAAACCACAGAGGGCCTCAGAAGAGGGTCTTCTCAGCATCACCTGTGCCCATAAACAAACCCGTCTCCAGGGAGGATGGGGGTCATTGTGGAAGCCTGCTCCAACCTCAGCTTCACATGTAACTAAACTATGAAATCCTGGGGTGTTCATCACATCCACCCCCTCAGACAGGACAGGAGACAGCAAAAGTCCTAGAAAGTTTCTACCACCATCCTGTGATGGAAGCCCAGGAGGTTTGGGGAGCAAAGGGGTTCAGAGGCATAGGTAGATCCTTAACTCTCCTCCTCGTAAGAAGCTGCTGCTCAGAGAACTGAGATGAGCGGGCCTCATGGGATGGCCACACCACTGGGATTGGCGGGGAGGAGGGGAAGGCAGAGAACAATGGCACCCTCCCCTGATCCCCACAGGCCCAGACAGCCCTCATGCCTCCAGAGTCACCCAGGGGAGTTCCCAAAGACTGAGGGGGTTCCCGTCTGCTGCAGGCAAGCCATGCCCTTCCTGGTTTGCAGGGGCGCCCTGAGGTCTGGGGTGCAGCTCCATTGGGTTGGGTCCCCTCACAGCACCAACCATCTGCCCAAGAAGACCTGTCCCAGCCTTGCCCTACACACGGCTTGGTCTTCTAGGTTAATGGAAGCCCAGAAGTGCCCAAGAACATGTCCAGAAATATGTCTAAGGAATTGAGGGGAGATGTATCAGGACCTAGATAATGATCATCAGTCCCCCAGGTGGAGATTTCAGGAAGGGGGCCAAGGACACAGGTTACCCCCAGAAGGTGGGAGTGGCACATCACCTAGAGTTTAGCAGAGAAGGATGCGAAATCCGCCAGCAACTTGATGTCATTAGGGAACGTCAGCCACGCCCCGCCGTCAACCACTAGCAGGGCACCCGTCACGTAGGATGCCAAAGGGCTGGCCAGGTACAACGCACTGTGGGCGATCTCCGTCTTGTTCCCCAGCCTCTGCAGGGGGCTGGCCAGGACCTTTCCACTCCTACTGGCCTGGGGACCACCTGGGAGGCCAGGTCCTGTGAGCTCCAGGACCCCAAGGTCCTCCACCCTTCCCGGTCCAGCTTTCCCTAAACCACATCTGGGACTGTTGGGGACACTATTAGCATCGTCCTGGTGGAGCAGTAATGGGCTAGGTACAGAGTAACACCGCCACAGAACCAGCATAGGACTTTTCGATGTATATACTGCCAAAGTTCTGGAAGCTTCGATGGGAGCCCCCCTTTGTGTCTGACGCACACATTGAGGCCAGCAGCCCTGTGGCCTCTACCTTCAGGGAGCAGCTGCCCGAGTCTGGCTGACTGTTAGTCCATTGCAGCTGTGAGTTAACCATCAATGGCCCTGACTCGACTTGGGTACAGACTCTTTGCTGGCCCCAGGGAGCCATGAGGACTTGGCATTTGCCCCCCGCCTGTTCCAGCCAGGTGGGAGAGGAGCCCATGGAGGCACTCTGGGGCTTGTGCCCAGGGGAGCATCCAAGGGGGCCTGGGCTCCCCGAGAGCCTTACCCAGCCGCCGGAACCCCTCTGTGCCACTGATGGGGCCAGGGGCAAGGCTGTTGACACGGATGTTCTGGGGACCCCACTCCACAGCCAAGTGCCGCGTCATTGCATCTGCGCAGAAGGAAGGCAGGCGTGAGGGAGAACACAGGGCTGCCCTGCCTTCTGGGGTGGCCTGGGTGTGAGTGGAGGCTCTCTACTGCCCACTTGGACATTGTAGCCCTCCAGAGATGGGCAGGAGAGGGGCCCAACAGAAACCTAGGCAGGCAGACCAGAGTGGGTGCCGTACCCACGGCCGCCTTGGCAGAGCCTGCATGCACTTGGAGCACCTGCCCCCGGGCACCCAGGGTCGCAGTGATGTTCACAATCACTCCTCCATGATCCTGCAACACATGGGGCGGGGGGGCGGGGGAGGGTTGTCAGTGAGTGGACAGCCAGAAGAGGGGAGCCCCAGCCAAGAAGACACTCACCCGAAAGCACTTCTCGTAGAGCATGCGAGACATGTTAAAGGTCCCCAAGGTGTCAATGTCCATCACGGTCTTGAAGGCATTAAAGGACAACGCGCTGGCCGGACATAGGAAGTTTCCAGCCGCACCTATAGGGAAAGGAGACAGAGGATGGTGCTGGAACACTGGGCAGTTAGAGCATAAAGACCTTCAGGATGTTCCAAGCCAGAGAAGGAGGTCTGAGAGTGTCCCTGACTCTGATTCAGCCGTGGTCACACTGCAATGACTCGGAAGCAGCTGAGTTGGGCCGAGACAGTGGCCTGGAGTCTGGGACACAAGTTCTAGGACCTCTAAGCAGGAAGGTCTGGTATCGCTGACCCATCAGAAACCCCCTGGCCTCGCTCAACAGTCACTCACAGTTTATGAGAATGTCAATTTTCCCAAACTCCTTCAGGGCCTGGTCCACGGCAGCCATGATGGTTGGAGGAGCTCGGACATCCAGAGATAAAGGGAGGCACCGCCGGCCAGTGGCAGCAGTCAGCTTCCTGGCAGCCTAGAAGCCGGACAGGAAGACAGAAGAGAGGTGGGCAGCAACCCAGTGGCCTCACTTTGAGAAGCAGTCCTTCAGCATCTGATGATGTGTCCAGGTTCTGCGGGTGAAGCCAGGGGTTTGCTGCTGGACCCTTCTAAGGCGATACAGCTGGCGAGCGGCCACTACCTGGGTCCATGACCCCCGGTGACATGTTCCTCCCTGCACGCTCTAAGCCACTAGCCACAGGTCAATGGACGCTTCAGCTGACTTCCAGTCCCTGCCCAGGAACTAGCTGTGGCAGTGATGAGACTCTTCTCCTGAGTAGGACATGTGGACCACTTTATAACCCTGATGAGCTCAGAGATGTCTCTTGGTGTCAGTACCACCCAACATTGAGAGCCCCTTCACAGGACCCAATAATTAATTTTTTTATAAAGTCAAGGGTGTCCCTAGGATGCCACTTTAACTGAAGCTCCATATTTGGAACAGAAGTGGCTTTTGGTGTCAACATCCTCTGGGCCTCAGGACCCTCCAGGCCCAGGCTCTGAGTCTCCACAGCCACCCATGGACGGGATGGGCACAGGAGAGGACCCCCCCCCCTCACCATTGACACTCTCGGAAGGCTTCTGCTGGCGATGACCATGTGGCAGCCGTGCCTGCAAAGCCAGAGGGCAGGTGTGAGGATGGAAAGGTGCAAGGGACACACTCAGGTGGGCTCCTGCCCGGAGCTCTAAGCAGAGTCCCCTTCCAACAAGGGTCTTTTGGGCCGAAGCACCAGCCCACGGCTAGAGACACAGCTGGCAGAGGACACAGTAGTCTGAGCAGGGCTAAGCGACTGTGGTGGGACATCAGGTGGGTGCATTGGTCCTATCCCAGGGTTTCTGGGCTGGCTTCTCTGGCACCAGGTATCCCAGCCATACAGATTTGTGGGCCCTGCCCCAAACACCATGTGCTCAGCACCCAAGCAGCTGTGAGCAATAGATGGGGGTCCAGGCATCTGCACTGAGTCCCCCTGGCTCAGCCCCACATACCCCTGCCCCCCTCCCTGTGAGGTTGGAGTGAAGGACAGAGTGCTCATTCTGAGGCCAGGGTTCCTCCCCTGCCTCACCTCCTGACAAACTCAGTCTCACAGCAACAATAGCAGCTAAGACCAGCTCAGCAGTTTCTACCTACTCCTCAATACAACCCTGACCAGCTAGCCATGTTCTGCTCCGAGAAGCAACATGCCCAAAGCCATCAGCTTGGAAAACAAGTTCAGCTGGAATGAATGAATCCACAAATCTTGTCCAGTGGGACCCACCTCTCTGATATAAAAAGTGGGGGCCCAGGAGAAACTGGGAAGGGTCCCTAGGATATCAATAGGCTCCCTCTCCCCCAAGCCCGCCTAACTCTGGGCCTCACCCAGGTAGAGGTGACAAGTTGCTGATCTGAGCCCGAGGCCACAGAAGTTGTGTCTCAAGAGACAGTGTTCTGCTTCCAACTTGGCCCTCCCTGGCCCTGGCTCAGCAAGGCCCCAGGGGGCCCTGCTTTAGAGTTACCTCCACTTGTTGAAACTTTTTGTACAAATGAGAGTGCTGAGACCAGAGCCACAGTCTTGACTAACCTCTTGAAGACCCTGGAGTCCCTCCTCTCCTAGGACAGCACTTGACCCCTTTCAGATGCTCTTCGTTGGTCAGTTGCCTAGAGGGGTTCCCACACCCACCAGCATCTTGCCCAGGAATCCTAGGATCCCGCGGGGTTCATGCAAGGAGGTGTGAGGATAGGTGTGGTGGTGGTGGTGTGGGGGGATGGGCACACAGAGCAGGGCTTACCGCATAAAAATCTCAGCTATCCGGAACCCGATCCCAGAGCCACCGCCTGTGATGAAGGCGACTTTGTCCCTGAGAGAAGAAAACAAGAGGCTCTTTGAAGGCATCCGTTAACTGGGGGCAGAGGGGAGGCCGGTGGCTCGGGGAAGACTTTGATCCTCTGCACTGGGCTCTCTATCAAATTTAGATTGTTGACAAAGAACGCGGGTGATTTTTGTAAGGAAATGAAACACTGCTTTTTAAGCCCGCATTCCTAGGCTTTCTGGGTCTTGGGGAAAACCTATTTCAACCTCAAAGTCTCTATTCATAAGGTTATTAAGTGAGTAATGTTTTCAAAACATACAAGCCTTCCTCCTCCCGCCCTTCACTACCACCCTCCTAGGCTTACCACTAGGAATACCTACCAGCACTGGCCAAGACAAACAGAACATGCTCTCACTAGAGCAAAGATCAAAATACAGGAGTACTTGCGCGCCCCGAGCCCCTATTTCCGCTCCCCGAGGCCTCTCAAGCCCCCGGTCCAACTCCCTGGGCGCCTCCAGTCCCCGGTCCCACTCTCCCGATGCCTCTAGTTCCCAGCCGCGCTCCCCTGGCGCCCCCAGTTTCCGACCTCGCTCCCCCAGCCGCCCCGAGCCCACGGTCTCACTCCCGAGGCAGTCCCCAACCCGGCCCTCACTGGAGCAGGTCGGGGCTAAAGAGATGGCGGTATTCAGGTAGACAGTCGTCCTCTGGGACATCAAGCGGCGGCTGGGCCATAGCGATCAGTGCGAACCCGAGGTAGCAAGGACCTGCTCAGGAAGAGCACAAGCCTCCGCGTATGGGACAAGGGGCACTCTCGTTACGTCACCTCTAGGCACCCTACCCCGCGCAGGGATCCGAATGCCTTGTCCGTCGCCACCGACCCGCCCAGAGGCCCTCGCTCTTCCTAGGACACCCCGCCCACAGCTGCCTCCTCCCCTCTCTCAGGAAGCCCCACCCCCATCCGAGCCCACTGCAGCTCCAAGCTCCTCCCAGGACCACGGTCCACCTCGCTAGCCCCGCTAACTGCGGCCGCACAGCCTGCTGGGACTGGGGGCTAGCTGGTGGGGCCTGGAACCGTGGCGAGCGCAGGCGCAATGCTGCAGGCCTCTTTTCGCAGCGCAGGTGGGGCGAGGGGGCCTGCGGACCGTCCACAACACTAAGTCCTTTTCACAAGATGGTGTCAGTGCCGTGGTCGGATCCAGCCGGACACAGCGGACACTCGGTTCAGGTCAGGACACCTGGGCTTTCTTCACCGCCGCTGGCCCAGCAGTGCATTTAAAACACCTGGTTGGGAGGTGCTCAGCATGTAAACGCCCTGGCCTCCCGGGCACCTCCCTTCCCTGTTGCATAAATATCACAAAGAAGAGGGAAGGAGACTGGAGCCCAGGAAAGCCACGGAAAATGAGGAAGGCCTTTGCTTCTTGTGGCCAGCCCCAGTGCCAGTTCCCAAAATGACCTGTTACAGGGTCAGGGCACTTCATCCACGCCTTCGCGTGGAGGCACAGGCAGCAACCTATGCTGTGAATCCAGGCCCAGGGCATCTATCACCAAGATGTCAAAAATATAAAATGAGGACCAAGTCAGCCTCAGCAGATGTAAAGATGCGCAGTGTCCAGTACCTGTGACCATTGAGTACAGGCACCTGGGGACCAAAGGTAAGGGGTGAGATGTAGTGTCAACGTGAAAATAAGTGGACACCAGGCAGCTAGATCAGCCTCAGCCACATGAAGCCATGGAGGTGGGAGGGGGTCATGGTCATCAGGCTTTCTGCTTTTGGGCTGGTCTCAGCTGCCACCTTCCCGGCCACCCATTAGTCCTGCCCAAGGCAGGCAGCTCCTCCTTCAGCAGGATCGGACGGAGTAGGGGCTGGGACAGTACCAGCTCTGGGGCCAGCTTGGATTCCCCCACACTTCAGGCTGGAGGTCTCTGGTCTGAAGCGTACATTCAACAGTTATTGATCCCCTACTGGTGTATGAGGTGGTAAGCTTCAACTCTACTCTCAAACTACTTACAGCTTTGCATGAAGGCCTCATTCCTACCTAGCCGTAATGAGCGCTCCACCCCCATGTACGGCACAGTGAATTTTAATGTCTCCCTCCTTGGGGGTGGTGAGGTCAAACTACCCACTTTTGGAAACAGCCCAAAAGTTTTCTGGCACTTTGGTACAGAAAGGATTTGGTCCAGTCTCTCGATGGCTTAGGATATGAAAAGGCACATAAAGTTGGCTCAACTGCTCTGGGCTGTGATGGAGCAAAAGGTGGACCGGGGGTGGGGCAGAGGGGGTTCTGGGACAGATGGGCAGAGAATGGGGTGGGCTCAAGTTCTTGTGGACAGAGGTAGTTGGTCCTGGGTGGATGTTGGGGAGGCCGAAGGCAGCCTGAGGTTCAGGCTGGGTAGAGGCTGCTGCGGTGGCCTTCATCTGCCCAATCCACCAGCTCATTGCTCTGGAACCACAGCTGGATCTCCCTCTGGGCCCCGTCCACGGAGTCGCTGGCATGGATGACATTCCTGTACAAAGTGATAGGCAGCAGAGGTAAAGCACAGGCTTTAATATGAATCTTGGGGGTCCTGGGAATGGTCTGCGGATCCTCTGCTGTCTAGGGGAGGAAGTTGGGTGATTGTGCAGAGGGGAAAGGAAGAAGAGGGGAGCTGGGAAACTGGGTTCCAGCCAGGCCTTAGCCTCTTACCCACAACCTCATGGACCAGTCCAGGCTGTTACTGGGAACCTCATTTCCCCACCAGTCCTCCCTTGCCAACCCCTCAGGGTGTCTGGCAAGATAGAATCAGATATCAGACAACGATGGCAGAGTACATACACAACACACAGGGAATGCTTTATCATCTGTGTGCCTGAAAAGGCCTTGAGAAAAAACTGAACGAGTAAATAATAGGAATGATGTCCCACCATAAAAATTCTCTTCTGGACTTTTGCCCAGCAAGACAGTGAGCAGGCCCCATCAGCTCCCAGTGGCATAGTGTCCCAGGGCCCCTGTACCTGCTGATGTGGACGCTGAAGTCTCCTCGGATAGTGCCAGGGGCAGCCTCAGCTGAATCAGTATGTCCTATCATGGCTCTCGAGGTGCAGACCACATTGGGGCCTTCCCAGACCTGCAGCACAGAGATAAAGGTGGGGAGAAGTGGAGATCACCAAGGGCTCAGCAGCTCTGGGCTCAGTCCAGGGCCCTCCACCCCTTCCACCATCCCTGCCAGGCTATACCATGGCAACCACGGGGCCAGAGCTCATGTAGCTGATGAGGGCTGGGTAGAAGGGCTTCTTCTGAAGGTCATGGTAGTGCTCAGCAAGGACACTCTTCGGCACCTGGATGGCATTGAGGGGAGGGGTGAGAGTAGCCCCTGGAGAGGCAACTCCACTGGGCATTAGGGCAGTAGCTTTGCAGATAATACCTACATGGGCTGGCACGCCAGTCATAGCAGCACAGGGCAGTTACCGCCTTCCCACCCCTCCCCTTGCACTGCTGACACCAGGACACTCCTCCTGAGACATGAAGGGCTGAGGTTCCAAGGTCTGTGAGAGGCCCTCCCCCTGGGAGGCCCTGAGAAACACCCACAGGCCAAGAGCCCTGATACCTGTAGCATCTTCATCCCCACCAGCTTGAAGCCCCTCCTCTCGAAACGCTGGATCACATCCCCAACAAGCCGCCGGTGCACCCCATCTGGTTTCACAGCAACCAGGGTCCGCTCCTGGTTCCAGGAGGGCCCTCCTTTAGAAGAGGAGGGGTGTGGGGGATCAGGGCTGCTGCCTCACACCTTCACATCTCCCAGCTGTGTCAGGGCCCAGGTGTCATCTGGGCTTTAGTGTCTGCCTCCCCCAGAGCAGCTCTGGAGGGGAGAAGTGCGGTGCCCACAGCCAGGAACTGCCCAGCATGGAGCTGCTGCCTGTCAGGGACAACCAGGGCAGTGGGTTCCTGGGGGCTTCCAGCCTGTTGGAGGGGGTCATGGCTCCTCCCAGGCAGTGACAGAAGCTGCCCATGATGGAGCTAGTGTCCCCTGAGAAAGCATCTTAGAGAGCCAGGAGGGCCCAGGAGGCACAGAAATGCCATGCTGGAAAGAAAGCACAACTCTTTTTTGTTTTTTTTTTAATTGGGAAACAGTGTGTTTTTCCAGGACCCATCAGCTCCAAGTCAAATAGTTGTTTCAACCTAGTTGTGGAGGGTGCAGCTTAGTGGCCCATGCAGGGATCGAACCGGCAACCTTGGCGTTACGAGCCTGTGCTCTAACCAAATGAGCTAACCAGCTGCCCCAGAAAGCACAACTGTTGGCCTCACTTTTGACTCCTATTCTTGGGAGTGATGGCACAGGCACTGTCTGAACCCCCACCTGCCACATCACCAGGGATCCAGAGCCCATCTTCTGGGTGTGACGTGAAGGAAGAGCAGGGGAGCCGGGAGAAGTGAAGTACTCTCCCCACCAGGTGGGCCACGGGGACCTGGGGATTGAGAAGGAAGGTAGAGGGGATCCTGTCTGCAGGTGGGTAGACCTCGAAGGCTCCTCTCACACCTTATTGGCCAGGCAGGATCTTTGTGCTGCTATGGGGTTTCAAGGCTGGCCACTTCCAGACCTAAGGAGAGCACTGAGCCTGCCCCAACACAGCCAAGGGGACAGAGGCTGCCTCACCCTCCTACAGCCCCCGGCCACTTCCGGAGTCCCTTAGACCCTCAGCATTGGGTCCAGGGCCAAATGTGCTTTTGAGAGGAGCCCAGACCCTGGAAGTCCTGCAAAGTCCTTCAAAGTCAGAACTGGTGGAGAAATGAGAGAAGAGTTGGGGCAGCCCAGGGTCCCTGGAGGCATCTGCAGCTGCCCGTTCCTTATTCCCAAGAGGAAAATTAACCATAACCTGCGCTGGGCTGGAAAGCAGGCAATGCGTCCCCACCACATCCATTCACAGCTGAATGAGGCCCATGGAGGAAGCCCCCCTGGCTTGTTTGTTCCCCCAAAACCCAGTGCCTAGGGACCCACTTCAGGCTGGCTTGTACCTGGGGAGATGGCAGTACTCTTCCCAGTGTTTGGATCACCATGACATCTGGCTCTCAGCTACAGCAGAGGTCCCCTTACAGACAGGGGCCTCAGTGTCCCAAACTGGGATGGGCCAGGTGGACTTAGGGCCTCGATAAAATGCCTTAAGAACAGTGGTTCCGTGGAGGAATGATCATCTGCCGAGGATGACCCCAGGCGACTCAGGAGCCAGAGGTCGGCTGGGACCCCCATCAGCATCCAATGTGGCCACCAGGCCGCTGGCTTCCTCTTCCGGAGCCCTCGGCCCCTCTGCTCAGGGGCAACATGGGGACGTGGGCCGCGGGAGTGGGGGGTTGGGAGGACAATAAATGGGGTAGGGGGTGCAGGGGCCCGGCCCAGGCGGCAACCCAAGGAGCGCGCCGCTCCAGCCTGCGCCTTCCGGGACAGCCGGGTCGCCTGCCCCTTGAGCGGTGCCCCGAGGCCTCCAGGGTAGTCAGGCGTACTGCGGAGGTCTGGGTCCCCCTCTCCAGGGCTGCCGCGTCCGCATGTGCACCAACAAAGGCTGGGAGGCGCCTTCCGCCCGCCTTCCTCCCTTGACTCACCCGAGCTGGGGCGCACCAGCAGGTTGGGGACCAGGGCCCGCGGGGGGCACAGCAGTCCCCGCAGCGCGGCGCGCCCGAAGAGGCAGCTCATGACACCCGGCTCCGGCTGAGCGCTGGCGGAGCGCGCGGGACCGCAGAGCCCCCGAAGGAGGGGCGGAGGGAGGGAAGAAAGGGAGGAGGGGCGGAGGGAAAGAGGTAGGAGGGGTGGAAGGAAGAGGGGCGGAGGGAGGGATGCGTGGGCTGGTTTAAGAGCCCCTCTTAATCTAACCCAAACCCGGAGGACCCCACCCCCAACCCCACGGCCTGCAGCCCCACCTGACTGTTCTCCACTTGCAGAGCCCATGGAAATGTATAATGTCAATTTCTGTTAAAATCAGAAGAAAAAATATAAGTATAAACCCAGCATGGACTATATTCATCATACCAATGCAGTCGTTAAATATTATTGACATTCGGGCCAGCCGAGAGTGGCTCAGCTGGTTAAGAGCTCGCTTGGGAGCACCAGCTCTGAGCAGCAGGGCTATGGTTCGGATCCCACA